GCCCACCTGATACTTGGACACACGTTCGAAATTGTTCTTCAAGGATCGTGGCAGCCTCAGCGTCAGTTGGCCCGTGTTCCGGTGGATTCGAAACATGTCCGGGTAGTTGACGCTCGATCTCAGTAGCTCGTAGGTGACTAAACCGTTCGTACTCGAGTCCAGGTCCCTGGCAACTAACTGCGTCACCGTGGTCTCCTTCTGGTACTGATGGTTCCCCTTTAACGGCAATACCACGGCAGACATGCTAACGAAGATCGGCGCGTTGTCGTTGATGTCTTCGACGATGACGATCACCAACTTCTCGGCGGATAGCCTGGCGCTTGGTGGCTGAGCACTGTCGGTCGCCACGACCACCAACTTGTACGTGTCCACCTCTTCGCGATCGATCGGCAACAAAGTGTGTATCACACCGGTCGACGGATTTATACCGAATCTGCGCACCTGATCCTCCGGATCTTGACTAGCGATGGAATACGTGACCACGCCGTTCTCGTTCGAGTCGGGATCCTCCGCGGTGATGGTCACTATCGGCGTGTGCACCAGGATCCCCTCCCGAATCTGTCTGGCTATCGCCGTGTTCGGGAACACCGGCGGATTGTCGTTGGCATCGATGACCTCGACGATCAACGTGGTCACCGAGCTCAACCTCGGGTGACCGCCGTCGCTGCAGGTGACGTTCAACGTATACTTTTCCAGCTCTTCGTAATCCAGGGGCTTCCTCAGGTACAACGTGCCCGTCAGAGGATCGATATAGAACGTGTCCCTCCTGTTGCCAGCAGATATCGCGAATGTTAGCTCGCTGTTCGGCCCCAGATCGTTATCCGTGGCTCTGAACCTAAGCAACTCGGTGTTAGTCGGCGTCGTTTCGAGAACGGAGATGCTCGATTTGTCGTCGACGAACAGCGGCACGTTGTCGTTCTCGTCGAGCACTTCGATGTGCACGGTCGTGCTCGAGGAGAGACGAGTCTCGAGACCAGCGTCGTGCGCCACCACCGTCAACACGTACGTGTCCGTGGTCTCGCGATCTAGTTCCTTCGTCAGCGAGATCTGCCCGGTCGCCTCGTCTATGGCAAATCGGCCGTGCTGATTACCATCCTCCAGGGAGTAGAACACGTCGCCATTCAGTCCCTCGTCGGCGTCCGTGGTGTACACTCGTAACAGCTGTGTGCCGATCGCGGCGCCCTCGTTCACCTGCACTCTATACGGCAGTCTCTGAAACTGCGGGATATTGTCGTTGACGTCGGTGACGTAGATGACGACTTTGACTCGATCGCGAAGTCGATTCACCCCGTTGTCGGTGACGGTGGCCTCCAAGGTGACGTAGCTGCTACCAGTGTTGGTGACCAGTAACTCTCGGTCGAACACACGGAGGGACTTGATGAAACCGTTCCTGGGATCGACAGTGAAGTCCTGTTGGCTAGCCGGCAGGGAGAAGACGAGGTCAGCGTTGCGACCCACGTCCCGATCGGTGGCCAATAATTTCCCGACGAACGTGTCCGGTGGCTCGTTCTCACGTAGGTGGAGGACGAAGCTCGAATTGGTAAATTCCGGCGCGTTGTCATTTTCGTCGATTATGTGCACGACCACCGGCACTACCGAACTTCTTGACGGGCTACCCTGATCGGTGGCTGTTACCTCGAGCGCGTAATAGTCCAGCTCCTCGCGGTCCAGAACGTTCTTCACGTATAGCTGACCGTCCGGGAATATACCGAACCGATCCTCGGTGTTTCCGTCGGTTATGCTGTACAACACCCGGCCGTTGGCCCCGAGATCCACGTCGACGGCTGTCAAGGAAAAGAATCTGTCGTTCACCGGCGTCGATTCCGGCAGAGAAGTTTCGTAGCTGGTCAGCTTGAACACTGGCGTGTGATCGTTCACGTCTTCGATGGTCACTCTGACTTGGTGCTGAGCGGACAGCGGTTGATTCCCAGAATCGGTCGCGGTCACCTCCAAGTGCAGCACTGTACCCGGCGCCGCTCGTATCGGCTTATCCAGGTAAATGATCCCGGAATTCTCTGCCACCCTGAACTGTCCTCCGGGATTGTGAGTCAACGAGTAGACGATCCTCGCGTTCGCGCTGGCGTCCCGGTCTCTCGCGCGAGCCAGGCACACCTCCTGTCCCACGGCCGCGTTCTCCTTCAGCGACACCTCGTCGCCGATCTCGCCCTTGGGAAACCTCGGCGGATTGTCGTTCACGTCCAGCACCGTGATGTTCACGGACGTTTGCCCGTAAGCGAGTCCGGCTCTGGCCGATAATTGCAGACTGTAGTAGGCCACCTGTTCCCGATCTAAACACCCGGACGTGCTGATCGTGCCCGTGCTCTCGTCTATCTTGAAGCTACCCTTCGGATCGCCGTACACGATCGCGTACGAGATCTTGACGTTACCGTATTGCGCAATCTGCACGGCACCCACTTCCCGCGCGAACACGTTCGACATCGTGCCGCATTCCCCCCTGTCCTCGGCTATCCTGAACTCGTAGCCGTTGTACGCGTCGAAATCCAAGTGTTCCAAGTCCTCCTCGCGGATGATCTCCACCAGAGCGTTCCGGCCGGCGGTTCTGTCACCGGTGTCTTTCGCGGATACGTTTAACTCGTACAGGGTCTTGTGAGCCGCCCTGAGTGAACCTTGAAGGGTGATCTCGCCGGTTCTCTCGTCTACCGTGAAGAGCCCCTCGCCACCGGATTCCAGCGAGTATCTCACCTGGGCGTTTTCTCGCGCATCGGCGTCGGTCGCCGTCACCTTGCCCACCGAGGTTCCTGGCGGGGCATCCTCTGGTATGGGCATCAGATACCGCCACGGATAAAAAATCGGGGAGTTGTCGTTGACGTCCTCCAAGGTTAATATCACCGTCGCTGTGGACGACTGCGGCGGGGTCCCTTGATCCCTGGCAATCACTAGAATCCGATATTCGGCGGTGGTCTCGCGGTCCAGGTTCACTTTCGTTGTCAATTGGCCGGTCAATCCGTCCAAGGCGAACGTTTTCGGATAGTCCCTGAACACGCTCGAGTGAAAACTGTAGGCGACGCTGCCGTTCGTTCCCTGATCGTTGTCGACCGCCGTCAACGTGGCGACCAAACTATGCGACGGCGTGTTCTCCGACAGTGTAACTCGAACGACGTTCTGCGAGAATCGAGGCGCCTCGTCGTTCTCGTCGAGAATCGTGACCTTGAGATGAGTGGACGCGTACTTTGGATTCGGGCCACCGTCTCTGGCGGACACGTGCAACTCGATGCTTCCTTGCACCTCTCTGTCGAGAGTGGCGATGGTGGTGACCAGGCCGGTATCTTGATCGATCGCGAACCAACCTTGCTCGTTGCCCGAGTCGAAGTCGTAATAAATTCTAGCGTTCAGACCGGAATCGGCGTCCGTGGCGGAGATGCTGGCAACGAAGCTGCCGGTTGGCGAGAGTTCCGACAGCACGGCGGAGTATTCGCTCTGCTGGAACACCGGCTCGTGGTCGTTAACGTCGTTCACGTGGATCACGAGGTAGGCGGTTGCCGAACGCGGCGGTGTCCCTTTATCGGTCGCGACCACCGTCAAATTGTACTTCGGTATCTCTTCCCGGTCCAGACGACCGTTCACGCGAACTATGTCGAAGCTAGGGGTGTTGTCGAGCCTGAAGTGGCCCAATTCGTTGCCAGCACGAATTTCCACGGTGGTCTCGCCGTTGAGGCCCTCGTCGTTGTCGATGACAGCGACGGCAGCCACGATCGAGTCCTTGGCGGCATTCTCGTCGACGGTGGCGAATCCCGGCGTGGACGGGAAATAGCTGAACTTTATTTCAGGATCGTGGTCGTTCGCATCCAATAGATTCACCGTTACGTAGGTCCGGCCATCCTGCCTCGGCGAGCCGTGATCTCGAGCGAACACCGTTATGACGCAGCTCTTTGGACAGCCGTCGCCCAGACGAGCCGCAATCGTGCAACTCTGCTGCGGACAGTCAAGAGGCTCGACCGTCGTTATCGTTCCCGTTTCCGGGTCAATCGTGAACTGCCTCTCGCTATCCGGCAGGTAATACGTCAGCTTGGAATTGTCCTCGGAATCCTTGTCTGTGGCATGAACCGTCAACACTCTGGTGCCCACCGGTGCGCTCTCGTTCAGAGCGACCACGTAGTCGCTCTGTTGGAATATCGGTGGATTGTCGTTGACGTCCAACACGGTCACGTTTACCAGAAGGTAGCCTAACCTCGGTGGTCGACCTCTGTCCCTCGCGCAGACGTTCAACGAGTAAAATTCTACCTGTTCCCGATCCAGTTTCCCCGTTGTTTCCAAATGAAGGTAAGATGTCTCGCCGGCCGGGTTCCCGGTTACTTCCAAACGAAATTTCCCGTCGGTATTCCCGTCCACGATGTAATAATCGTCTACCACGCCGTTCTCCAACGTGTCCTTGTCCGTGGCGGCGTCCAGCAACAACTTCGTCCCGACCACCGCCGACTCGGAGAAACTAACGGCGATGCTCGACTCCGGGAACTCCGGATCGTTGTCGTTGATGTCTAACACGAGGATCCTCACCTCGATCGGATAAGTCGGCTGGCTAGACAACACGACCAGATCGAACCTGTCGCTGCTCAACGCTTCCCTGTCGAGAACTTTGGCCGTTCTGATCTTGCCAGTTTCCGGATCGAGCACGAACTCCTGTGGCGGTTCGTTGAATCTGTAAGTGAAGCCAGGCTTGACGGGTATCAGACCAACCAGCGTCCCCTTTGGCTCGCCTTCCCTGACCTCCAGTTGAACCCTCGTGTCGACGGCCCTGCTCTGCATCGCCAGGCCCATCGCCGCGCTGTCCTGCGGTAACATCGGCGATCGTCGTGGCACTAATCGTGTCACTCTCTCAGATGATAGACCCTTGCGAAAAAAGTAGTCGGACGCATGAGTCTCCTGGTCGTTCGGCTGACCGCCATTTTGGTCCACCGACAACAGTCCCAGGACCAGGGCTAGGACCATCGATCTTCGAATGATCATCTCTTCTGTCCCTTCGAACGCGCCCCCTTCCTTACCTAAATTCCTCTACCGTCCGACAACATAAAAGTATCGCTGTGCCTGATACTACCTCTCGTTCTTCTTCCTCATCGTCGGTCGCACGTTCATCTTTCCCCTGGTACGTGGCTCTTTTACGTAGTCGCTGCTCGCACACTCGACATATTCGTACGAAACCGAACCTCAGAGACGTCAACGAGCGGCTGACCAGTTGTCCCGATCGCTAACGGGTTCCATGCTTTCGATCTTTCTCTGTTTCTCTATTTCTCTTCCTCCTCTCTTTTCGATCAGTTCGTTCGTTCTTCCGTTCGCGTTCTTCTGGGCGAACTTCTGGTTTCGAACTCTGGTTCGGGCTCGGCTCGAAATCGGATTAAGGATGCCTCGAAGGTGTGGGCGTTTTCCTCTTTATTCGCTGCTTTTTGCTCGTCGCCGTGGAAAGTCAAGTGAACACGAGAGGCTCGAGCCGACAGAGGGGGCACTGACCCGCAGAGCCGCGCCTCGCGAGAACGCGTCTGCGGATGCTGCTCGCCTCCGATCCTCCGATACTTTTCCACCTTCCACCGATCACCACCACCACCAACACCACCACCACCACCACTGCTGCTGCTGCCACCACTACGACTACCACTACGACCACCTTTTTCTATGCTCTCCGAAATCTCGACGATCCACCCTGTGTGGATAGCGCGCACGGCTGGGATTAGGGGTACGGTGGTACGGTGCCGGCTCGTTGTCTCGGATCGAGATTTCTCTCGCGACGATTTCCACGACCACGTTTGCGGTCGCTGCTCCCTCGCGTTCCTTTCCGTGTCGCTTGAAAAACACTCGTCCTTATTATTACGCGCGATCCTCTTGCTTTTCGCGGTTTCCACCGCTTTTCATTCTCCTCTCGTCTGCTAGGTCTTTCCTCGCGCGATATTTGCTCAGAGTTCTCGTGACACGTCGGAGCAGTAAAAGTCGAGCCACTCTTTGATATCGTGCTTCACAATCGAATATCCAAAGTTAACGCGCAACGATACTCCGTTTCCAGAGATGCACGAAATAAATACGTCGCGATGGCGAACGATACGGAGATTCGTGAGTGTCGATGTTCTTTCGATGATGACACGGGATTCCTCCGGTGATGTAGCAAGATGGTTCTTCAAAGGTTAGATCGAGGAACTAAGTTGACCAATCGGTGGATACTCGCTCGTGGAAACACTCGAGTCGTTGTCGAATCGTCAAGGTCGTAGTTCGTATCGATGGGTTTCGTACTCCCGCGCTTCTCTCGTGCTATCACTCACCACCGAAACGTTCGTTTCGCGAGGGTGGTGAAGATCGAGGGTTGGACAGCAGAGACGCGAGAGCCAGAGATGAAAAGACGCGGCGTACGAAACGAAACGAAACATATACGCGCGAGATAACCGATGAACGAAGAAGAGAAACGAAACGAAAGGGGGAAAAAAAGGAAGGCACACGCACGCACACATATACGCGAAAGGAGCGAAAAGAAGGAGTAACGTGGGGCGTAAACGCGACGACGTAAGGCCCCGTGAACGTACGACGACGAAGAATATCACCTTCTCCACGAGGACTGACCTGGCTCGACTGAACCGAGACGGTCCCAGAGTTGCCACTGCCGGGAGAAGCATTCTTCAGGCTGGCTGACGCCGTCCCTCTCCGATCCATCGGGCCCAATGTATGCTTCCGTTTCTCTCGCTCTTCCCTCATTCCTCTCTCTCTTTCTTTCTCTCTCCTTCTCCTCCCTCTCTCTTGCTTTCTTCGTCTCTCCTCTCGCTCACCACTTACTCCCCGCTCTTCTCCCGCGCGCTCGCACACCTTCCATCGATATCTATTTTTCTCTTTCTTCGAAGAAACCTTCGACTTTCTCTTTCCTTCTTTCTTTCGTCGTAGTCGTCTCTCTCTCTCTCTCTCTCTCTCTCTCTCTTTCTGTCTCGCGTTTTCTCTCCGTTCTACGCGTCTCTACGCTCTCTGTCAGCATTACTTTCTCGTTTCCACTCGCTTTGCAACCCTTTTATCAATATCTCTCCTCCCGTTTTGACTTTGCACAAGCTTCTTCGATCTTTCGTCTTATTCCTACTCTCGTTCGATTTCTTCTCTCTCTTTCTTCGACTCCTTTGCTCTCCGGATTGTCTTTGCTCCTTTCGTTCCGTTCCTCGCCATCGCCCTTAGATCCATCTTTCTTCTCGAACGTATTTAGAAAAGCCTCTGTGGGCCCGCATGCTCTTTCTTACCTCTCCGATTTTCTCAGGCGACCTATCGACATCGCCTTTCCTCTCTCTCGTCTCTCAGTCTCTCTTCCTCCCTCCCCTCCCTCTCTCTTTTCAACCACCGATCGATGTCGCTTTTCGTCCTCGTCTAGCGAAGCATCCGCGAACTCTCCTTTTCCCAGTCACCGATTTCTATCCTTATCCCTCTGAAACTTCTCGTTCTTTCTATCCCTTCTGTCTCTCTCTCGTTTTCTCTCCTTGCTCTACTCTGCCGATCGAGTCGAAGGATTCGACCGTCTTTCTTTAACTAAGAATCGATAGCGTTTACTCTCCTTGTCTAAAGAAACATTCGTGGGTCTCCTGTTCTCGGCCCTTCTAGCTCTATCCCGCTCCATCTGGGCCCCATGGTTCGTTCCGGTAGTGTCTCTATCTTACATCGCTCCTCCTTCGTCTCATCCGAGGATCGACGGTCGAGCTGTCCTTCTCCACTCGGTACACGCTAGTTCAACCACGTCGGCGCGGCGGCGATATAGGTTTCCCCTCCGTGGGCCCTACGTGTCTCTTGCTTGCCTCCCTTCCTTCCTTCGGAAGGTGGCCGGGCCCCTCATAGCGCCCTCGTTCCCCGTCTCTGTCCCCGCGGCCGTTATCCTCCCACCTTCGACTCTATCCTCGCGCATCCAGCGTCGTCTCGCGCTGAGATATTCTCCCTTTTGCCCTCGAGGAACGAGCAATGCGGAGGCTCAGGTATGCAAGATGGCCGCCGCTGAGAAGCGCTCGCAACGAGGACCGCTTACGGGCGAATCAGAGAAAGAGACCGGGCTGCCCCGGTGGAACGGAGTCGGAGCTAGCTAGGGGAACGAGGACGGGGCGTCACGTCAAACTGGTGGGACGAGGAGAGAACGATCGAGATGAATAATACGCGGGGGAGGAGGGGAGACGAAAGAACGAAGAGGAGAGAGGACAAGAAAGAGAAAGAAGTTGGAAGTTGACAGGGGTGTGGGGCGGTGAGGAAGAGAGGCGGAGGAACGAGGTCTAGAGCCACGATATACCGTAGATATACATATATCCGCGGCCCTGTAGCCACTTTTATAACTAATCCGTTACCACGATCGAACGCTTCGGCTTTAACTTTCCACCTCTCTTCTCTCTCGGACCTCTCTTCCGTCTTCTTTTTTTTTTTTTCGTTTTTCTTTTCCCCTCTCGATCGACCGCCCGAGCTACACGCGCAACTAGATTCTCTTCACTGTTTTCCTTTAATCTAGTTTACTGGGTACCAGCCGGTATATGGGTACCACCGGCCTCGCCTCCCTTTACCGACTCTATGTGCCGATTACCGTATCGATAGCTAACCCAATTTACGCCCACCACCGCTTCCTTCCTTCCTTCCTTCCTTTCTTCTCTTTTCTTTCTTTTTTTCTCGTCTCTCTGACTGTAAATGTAACCGAGGATTTTAAACGGAACGCGGATGAGATACGACCGCGTATACACGGCCCAAGAAACGTTTGGGAAATCGTTATCTAGGAAAAAACGGAAAGCATCTGCCACGCGCACGAAGTGGAATGCCACGGGAAATTGGGGGTCTCTCTAAGCTCTGACTCGTATCAGCTCAAATACTTTAAAAGTCAAACACTTTTATCTAAATAGATCTGGTTGAGACGTTTCGAACAGAGATTATCCACATTGGAAATTGATTTTTGTACTTGCGACACTACTTTTTGGTAACATGTCAAGGGCTACAATATTAAGTTTATTTTTTGGTAATATATCAAGGGCTACAATATGGCGCAAACGTTAACTCGGAATATTTGTCACGAGAAAAGGCGAGATACCGCGTGTTTGATATCCGACGTTCAACGATACAACATGCACCATATGTATGTGTCGTTTCTTAGTCTCAGATATTCGAAAGGTTACGATATTCGAAAGACGACAAAAGATCCTGACATTTATTCAGATGGTATCATGCGATCCGATACGATATGATGACGCGAGGTCTGTAACACGGTTAGTTTTACAATTCACTTGGCGGTTGCGAGATAGTGTGAGAAGAATTGCCGCGTTAAAAGTGATTTTCTCGAATACAACTATGATTAATTGCACATGAGATACGAATGAGAGTGTATGACGTGGTAAACAAGTAGTAATAACCGTGAAAAGTCAGCCGAGATGTCTCGTGGTAAGAATAACTAATCTCTGAACAAAAGGTGATTTATTTGCGACACGCATCCCACAAATGAACGTGATAAATTTAATGGAAATTTAATGGAATGAGAAATAATCACTGTTATTCTTAAAACTTCCATTCGACGTTAAATCATTCGCAGCCCTCAAATATACATTATGTGTCTTTATCTCGACTTGATACCGTTTTCTAAACATGTGTACAGTACTTTCCTGCAAATCGATTTACCAATGTAATTATACAAGACAAATTAGGCATTTGATATCGCTGTAACGTACTTTGTAAATCTTATCTCAGTAGATCCGCAGTTCGTCGAGAAAGCCACGATTTAACCAGAAATACGATCGTTTCCCGCGTAGGTAAGCGTAACGATCGCCAACGCGGTCCTTCCTGAATCATGATATCTTGGCCGAATGCGAAAGTAGCTTTTTAACAACGTATTTTGCGATCTGTGGCCATATAAATTTGTCGGAGATCGTTCCTCACTCGAAACGGGCTTTTGCGCCCACTTGTCTAACATTATTCCACGTTCCCACCATATACGGGGCAGCATCATTCACATAAAACAGTAAAATTCTATCGAGTTGCTACGTGGGCGTTACATGCAACAGCTTCATTGTTTCACCGAACAATAACTGTAACACATTCTCTTGTTTATCTTCGCCAGCCCAAAACGTATCGGTTGTCAGTCGCTTCTGAATTATCTTCGAAAGAAAAAGGGATGAAATTTCTTTCGTAACATATCAATTAGCAAAATATAAGATTATTATAATATAAAATTATAAAATAAAATATGCAGATTTTATTGTATATATATATATATAAATCTGTACAATAAAAAATTCTAATACTAAAGGTGTGATTATTTTTTAGGTGCTCCATACGCATCTGGCATTCTCTCTATAGTATACCTATGCTGAGAAACATACATTATAGGCACACCAGGTATTTTTCGTATTCTCCTCTTTAAATCTTTGTCGTTGGTTGCTACGATGTAGCATTTGTGCTAAAAGATTATGGTACTGTAAATATTGTTAAGTGGACTTTTAATTCTGAAATGAATTATACTCACTTGAGTCACTCTATTGACGATACAGTCATCTGCATAAGTGCCTTTGTGCATGCAGTTTAACCTTTCAAATCTAGGATCTTTCATAATCTTTAGAGCTATTTTATATTTCTGACCTAATTTCTCCATTTCGCCCATCACGCAATCCGTTATGTATGGAGTGCACTTAGCATAGAGACATTCCATCATATTTTCTATAATATCTAATTTGTTTTTGATTGAGAAATTTACAAAATTTGTGTCTATCAAAACATGGTAAGGAGGTCCCAATTGTGTATTATATTGAAAGAATAATGCAGATGATTGCTGAGGTCTGTAATATATGATACATATTAATGATAATATTTATATTGTAATTTGCATAGAAATATTGAAACACATTCAAAAATATTTACGCTTCTGTGATTTTAAGTTCAGTTGCAGCTTCTTTTTTGATTTTCTTTGGTGGTGCACGAAGTTCTGGTTTTCTACAAATAGAAAATTGATATTTTAGAAATAGTTTTTATGTAATTATAGTATTTGTTTATTTTATAATAATAAAACTAACTTACATTCTTGAATCTCTCGGGCTGATCATTTTTTTCATTTGTGCAAACCTTTGCATGACAACTCTTCGCGTCCTTTTATTCTTTCCCTGTGAGTTACAAATAAGTGAGAAAATCATTTTATGTCCGATATAAGTTCGACAAAATTATTATAATATCAAACTATAAAAACATAACCTAAAATATGCATTTGACATTTCTTATACGAAATACATTATTTCACAAACAAAACATTATTTACCATTTTTATTTAAAATTCGATACTCTATTATATTTGCAATAAAAAAATACAGTTTCTTAATTATCAAACTTTAATTATCAAATCCAATTCAAAACAATGCAAACCATGTGGACATATTTCAATACTACCACAGACAAGATATATGAATAGACAAGCATCTTGTGGGATTTTGTGGTCCGTGATCTGAAATACCGATATAGTAAAAAATCGCTGGTATTTTAATGCACTCTATGTTTAAACAACGGTGAGTTGTGAAACTACATCAAGTGAAATGATCGAAATTGGTCAAATAGTAAATGCGTCAGAAATATGATTTTTGAAACTTATTACACTATTGTCAAACCACCGCGAAATCTTTTTCGATCAACTCTATAATTTGTGCCTGAAATAAATCTAATAAACTGAAAAAGATTGATAAAATCTGTAAAATATAACTATTACAGTTGAATGAAACATCATTTTGTTTTGTAACAATTTTTTCCACTTAGTCATTTTCTTTGATTCATCTTCCATCATTCTAAACCTTTAATATATATTTCTCTGTATATTAATTATAACTAATACCCTTCGTAAATTAATATATCTGAAACAAACTTATATATTAGATTAATATTATAATTTAAATTATAACTTAAATTAGATTAATGTTATAACTTATATTATAACTTAAACAAAGCTCACAATGAAGATATATTACACACACAAACAAAGAAAATCAAGTTCTTGTCAAGATATTATTTCGTCATATCATAATTTATTAATTAAATTAAATTATTTTTTAACTCGAAATTATCTAAATTGAAAGCAAGAATTTCTAGTAACTGGATTCAGATTAGACTGAATAAACAAAAATTGAAAATTTATATTTAATACAAAATGATGACAGAAGACTTGATTAAAACCATATTTTGATTTGTTTTCCAGCTTTTATTTATCCCTTATGTAGCATAAAGAATAGAAAGAATTCCGTTTTAGAATTGCTGTTCTGTTAAATTTTTGTATAAAATTATAAATAATTATAAATAGCTTTTAAAATGTTTATACGCTATTATTTCTTCAATTGTTAAAAATTATATGTAATAACTATTTGGTTAAATCTTTTGAGTTGAATCCAAAAATGCACGTTTTATCTTCGAAATTCACAATACAAACACAAATCTAACAATTATCGATTTAAATTTTTACCTAAGAACTTCTGGATGATATTTCTTTCTGGGTGATTTTCTTTTTTCTTCTTTATAGTTGTACTTCTGTCTGCCATTCTTCCCGCCTGGAAATCGATTCTGAGAAATATCGATTATGTTCGAGAATCGTAGGAAGTGTATTGCATACTTCACCATTAACGCTGTAATCGCGCGTTTCACATGAAATGATAACTTGGAAATAAAAAACTCTAGTCTAAATCAAATACACAAAATTCATGAAATATTCTTAAAAAAGTATGAAAATATTCATACACTAGATAAAAAATTGTCAATACTCTAAACTATTATAATTTTGTGAAACAGAATTGTAGAATAATTAACTTGATTTTATTTTGCAAATGTAACAACACTGCCAATATTTTTTGATTTTGATCACTAATAGTTCTGCGGTGCTACATAAAAACCTGCTTAAATCAGTACGACAAAATATGACATGAAAATGGTAAGGAGATTCTAGGACCTCGAAACCGTAGGACAAAAAAATACGTTGTATATGAGGTCTATTCATATACTTCATCTATGGTACTACCAACAATATATTTTCTGTTATCTTTTCCACTCGTACCAACTTAAAATACACGCACCAAATTGAAATACTATGCGAAAATACTATACTACATATATAGCGAATTAAATAATCGTAAATTCGAAATTAATTAGAAAGGCGAAATTAATTAACGTTCCTTTATTTTTCTATTACGTATAGGGTGAGTCATTTATTTACATACAAAAATCTTACACAATTATTCATATAAAAGAAAATTTAGCTCAATAATTTACATTAAGACAAAAACTCAAGGTCATTTTTACATCTCAATAAAAAAAAGAAAAAAAAAAAGAACGGAATATGGAAAAACTAATTATTACAATTTACGTCTTGTTTCGCTTAACATCGAACCATTTGCGTTTCGAAAATTGTTTTGTACGACAAATAGTTTAAAAGTAAATTTAAGTGGTATGATTAAACGATTCATTTTGTATACATATAGATCAAATTATCTGCCATATAACTATCTTTCTATCACAATTTATAATTATGATTTTAAAAAATGCATAAGATATATAATATTCCTAAATTTAAATTAGTATTTTTGTGCTCTCTTTTTTTTTCATTCAGACTTCGGAAATAAAACAAAGCGTCTTCTTCGATTCACCCGCCATCTTCTCTCTGATTTATGAGAGAAAAAAGGCTTTGTGCATAACGTGTGATAAAACGCGAATTTTTTTTATTAAAAAAACGGGTTAAGTACGAAGAAAAATACGTAGGAGATATTTTTAGTGTTTTGCCATTATTATTCTGAACGTTTTATCATTGTTATTAGTATTAATTTGCATGCCTGAGGGGAGCATTCACGTTCTAACCTATAAAGTCTTGCAATGATCGTTGCACTTTATTTTCTTGCAAGATCATCTATCGTATAATTTGAGAAAAATGCCAAAAAAACCGAGTAAACCATTACGCGGCGGCCGTGGTGGAAGATCTGGGAATTTCGAAGACAGACACTATTTTGGTACATCTCTTTGCCGTTATTCAAATGAAATCATTAATTTGAACTTACATGAAATCATTCATTCATTGATTTCCTGTTTTCTGCACAGGTCATGATTATCGTGTACCTAGAAACGATGGTAATTCATATCATACCCATAACAGACCCAGAGTATCATTCAAAACACAGGCAAGACCAGCAAGAGATGTACCTAGGAGTTTGGCACTAGCATGCTTAGATGAAGATGTACAAATGGCAACAAGTTCTAATAATAATAATAGGCAGGTTATAATGACAGGGAGAAATAGGGGCATGCAACGTGGAAGAAACAGTCCAGTTCCCAATAGGAGACCCTTTAGAATGGGTTTGGTACCTAGGCTCAAACGACTTCCTCTTGGGGAACCTAGTTGGTATAAAATTACTGTAAGTATACAAGAACATGTTATTATATAATATTGTATTAGTATTTTTATATTATATAATTATGCAACATATATATTATAACTATATTATATTTTATATTGTGATATCATATATAATATATAATATCACAAAAGTTATTTTCAATTACAGATACCATATGGACATAAATATGACAAAGATTATATAATAAATAATCTTCTCAGTTATATTGCACCAGAAACTTTCATTCCAATAATGGTAAATATAAAATATTCCGATTATGCTGCATGATTACAAATATTTGATACAAGTGTCTAATGTCAAATATAAAAATTTGTCAACAGTATAAGGTGTTTGGAAATGAAGCCAATTTTTATGTGGATGATAATAAAGTAGCAGTTGCGTTACTTGACTGCGATCGTAAAATTACAACTACCGATGGGTACAAATTGTTAATAAAAGTTACAAAACCACCATTTCCTCAGTGTGAAATTGATGCAAAACTGAAAGAAAGATTAAAACAAGCCATGGCGAAACGATATGTACATGCGACAAATGCACTAGATTTGTCAAGATTTCACAGAGATCCTGGTTAGTGAAGTTTAAAAACAAATTTTCTGCGAAAGATATTCCAGTAATTCTTATATATTGTTACAGATCTTATTTCTGACTATTTTTGTGCATTGTTCCGGCCTCAAATTTTAAAAGCAGTATTGGACATTGTATCAGAACATATACCAGATTTAGAGGCACTAAATTTAGATGGAAATAAATTGCAGATAATTGAAAGATTAAGCATCTTGAATCAAAAATTTTTAAAATTAAAGATACTGTATATTGGAGATAATAGGGTAAGTAATTTAAAATGATATGAGTTGTAGATATTTTACCGCGTTAATTGATTCAATATGTAATTAATATTTTATAGATAAATGATGTGAATCAAATAGATACTATTAAAGATTTGAAGTTGGAGGAGCTCAAACTGGCAGGGAATCCGATATGCAACAAGTATAAATCCCGACAAAATGATTATATTAGGTAATGTATTGTTTCAATATGATTTTCCTTTTCGGAATGATGGGATTCTTCAGCTCTGGGTTGAATTAACGAAGTTTACAAATTTCATTTAATACGATTGATTAACAGAGTATATAGTAAACAAATATCGAGATTTTTATTTATTAAAATATAAACTAGATTTTTCAATTATATAAAATGGACGAAATTCTGAACAATCTAGGTATTCTCTATTTTAAAACTTTTCAATAATAAGGCAAATATTTCTGTTATTACGATTAACTTGGAGCTTCCGGGCTTCTGGCTTTTCTTTCCCGACTACAGCGACGTGCGGAAACGGTTTCCTAAACTTCTGCGACTGGTAAGTGTTGAAATCGCGTTAGTCGTTATATTTAACAGAATATGATAGTTGCTAATTACTTTTAATAACCTATATAAGGACGGTATGGATCTTCCAAAACCAATATTGTTCGATGTAGTGGATGAAGGAAATAAAATGCCACCCTTTCAAAGGATGTTTGTTGCAAATGCAAAAGCGCAACAAGTTGCGAGTCAATTTTTGCAACAATACTTTCTCATATTTGATAGTGAGAATCGTGAACCATTGCTAGATGCGTATGTCGAACACGCGTGTTTCAGTATGACTGTGTTTTATCCTCACAACCCTCACAACCCAAACAAGTACGTTTCTGCATATTACTAACTTAAAATAGATTTTCTGATACATACTAACTACAAACTAATTGTATGTGCACTAGATTGAATGGTTACCTGATGGAAAATAGGAACTTGTACAGAATAAATGATACAAACAAAAGACAAAAATTATTAAAACAGGGACGTTTGCCTGTAGTTTCATTTATTTCTGAAATGCCACAAACTTCTCACTATCTAAACACATTTACGATGGACATCAGTTTGATTACGGTAAGATTTTATTTCTTAGTATAAACGGAAACAAAATTTGCAAATTTATTCGTTATTGCACACAATAATTTTTGTATTTCCAGGATGGAATAATGTTGATTACAGTCACAGGATTATTTAAAGAGCTTGACAAGAAAGAACAGTCTATCCGTTACTTTAATCGGACCTTCATGATAATTCCGGAAGGAAGTGGTTATTGTATTCGAAATGAGCAATTACATATCACTCAGCCGACAGATGCACAGTTAAAACAACTGAACAGTCAATCAGAAGCACAAATGACAGATCCAGGATCACAGACTTCATCAATTAGCGGCACTACAGAACCATTACCAGTACAATTGTCTGAAGATGTAAAACAGCAAATGACGATGACGCTTAGTCAACAAACAAACATGAATTTAGAATGGAGTTTGAAATGTTTAGAAGAAGTGTCATGGAATTACGATAATGCGCTTTCAGCGTTTCAAGAGTTTTACAAGCGGGGACAAATACCGGCAGAAGCATTTAATAAATAAAAATACTCTACACGAAGAAGTAAAATGTAGAGGTACTTTTATTCATTTTTCGTTCTTGTTGCATGTGTCTTTTATATTGCAATGTAAGTAGAGATGCAAGTTTTGCTGGTTATTTTGTTTTTCCTTTTAAGAAAGATGTTAATCTCAACAGGCAGTAATCATTCATTATGAGTTGCAAATTAATATCGAATTTTTTTTTATTTTATTTCGTAATTATGTTAAATTATTAGTTACTATTTGGTACATTTACAACAAATAAAAAGAAGATTGGTGTAAAATACTGAAAGGAAACAACAATCTTTTCTACGAAACAATGTATTTAACAACAAACTTCTTTTTGTTAATGAAATGCATAATGTTTTTATCTTTAAGGAACATAAAATATATAATTTTGATTTTGAAAAAATCAAATAACTGCCTTTTGAAATTAGAATTTAATAATAATTCATAAGTTCAAAAAATGTTCACAGAAAAGTAATATTAAAACACGATTTTTTTTTTTTTTTTTTTTGTTTAAATCAATCATGATGCAATATTACAAACTTCATGTTCAAATACTTGTAACATATAATTATCACTTTTGCATCAAAATATTATTAATATTAAGTTCATTAAGAAAAACACGAGTGATATTCAGATTTCTGGAACTACTAGTTCAATTATTTCATATATACATAATGATGCACATTTTATATTATGATTCGAATAATCTGTGTATGTTTGTCCTATTCTAGAATGCGTGTACGTTTGTTCTCTAATATTCTTAAATAGATAATTCTCCACTATATAATTGTTAGAGGACAGAATATTTGTGCCTTTCTTTAATTGATGAATAAAATGAGCATCATTATGTATTTGATATAAATTAATTTACATTAAATTCGATAAAGCTATGATATAGTGAAAGAATATACGATCTTAAAAAGATCATATCACAGCTCACTCTATATTTTGCTGTTGTTTATATTTATTATAAACGTATTATATAATTTTTTATACATTTAAAACAATGAAAACATCTGTCACATAATATAAAAAAAAATCTATTCTCTTTGTAATAAGTTTTTTTTTTTAATCAATTTGATATTATTGTGATATGATATTATGATGATACTATATGATGTTATTGTGATATGATATTTTTAACAAAATATATTTAGCAAAAGAATTTAACGTCGATAATAAAAAAAAAAAAAATACGAATCAACCAGATTGAAAAATTTGGATCATTCAATGGGCGTCGAAAATCTGCATTAACTTTACACTTTCAGAAATCGCAAAAATTACATATACGAATGTATTGTAATAATATTCGTGTTCATTGTTACATCATTTCGGTTAATAATCCAAAAATTAGCTATAGTTTGTGAGCATAAATTATTTATTGGCGTCCATAAGGAACGCATATTAACGGAAAAATATTACTATTATGCTACGTATATCCAAGAGACAAAAGTAAATTAGCCCTCATCTATAAACTATTCAATTTGTCTAGAAACGATCGACTTGCCTATATGACAAGGAGAACACTGAATAAAAGAACAGAAAACAAGAGTTCTGATAAAGCAGTTGGGATTCTAACAAGCAAGTTTGATCCCCTTCCTTGTCGAAGGTTGTCGATATGCGACAAAATGTGCTACAGCACAATCACACAATGTTTGTGCCAAGAACCAATAATATATTAACATCAAAAAGGGCGATCTGACCGTATCAATTAATTTTACGGATTAAACCCACAAAGAGTTTTGTGCAGTGCTGATGTTGATCAGACAGAAGCTGTGACCACCTCTTCATTTTGTCTTTCTGAAAGACATAGTAAATCATATCAACGAACAAAACTGATGGAAACGCATGACAATGAAATTAAAGAATGGAAAAACAAAATGTATTCGATATCATGCAGTTTGAAAGAATTTTTTTATGATATAAAAGATTGATTAATATGTTGCCAAGAGAATAATTTATGCCCACATTCTATACAGATTTTATTAAAATGACAAGAATATTTGTAACAATACCATGAGCTCTTTGGAAAAATATCCATTCTGATATGTACTATTTATTAGTAAATCTTTTTGGATTTTTTTATGTAAAAGAAATATTGTTCAACCCTTGTCCGTCAACCCTCAACACATTTTTCTTATAAAATGTGTAAGATATGAATGTGATATTGAATATCTGAGAGGTAATTGAATAGAAATTTCGTTTATTTACTATAAAAGAACTTTTTCATTGTGGGGTTAATTTTTTTAGCATTAATAAGTCAATTTGACATTAGAAATATTGAGGAATAAATTAAATTAGAAAAGTGAGGAACGGAGAAGGGTTTAAAAAGAAGAAAATGAAGGCAAAGAGAAACTTTCTATTATTATTGCGTATAATAGTAAATTGATTCACTGGATAGTGTAATCAACGTTTTGTTGCGAATTATTACATTTATTTTCATCTTTAATTAAAAGATATGTAAATAACTATACTGATTGATGTACATGTTTAAGATACATTTTCACATTATGTGTTCTATTTGATTACAACATAACATCAGATCAAACACACAGTATGTAATTAATAAAAATAGATATTTGTATACATATATAGGCGTTTTTCATCAAAGATATGAATATAATGTAAATAAACATTAGAAATTTATTTAATATAATTTGCTTTTTACAAAATATATATGTGATATTGATGTTACCTTTCACTGACTAAATATCACGTATCAGACTTAATCACAGTCGTATTTCCATTTTCTATCATCTGCATATAAGATGTTAATTAATTTTTACTTTTAAATTTACAAAATACTACAAAATACTTACTTCATTATTTTCTTGTTTTGTTAAGTCCTGTTTTCCTTTTCGTTTAAAAAATCCTAACTGAAAAATGTTATTAAATAAAATATGTTATAATGATCTTCACCAAAAAAAAAAAAAAAAATTTACCATATTTAAAATTGTGACAATCGTGCATAATAATAACAATCCGACTAAAACAGAAACAAAAATAATCCATAGCTGTAGCTTTTCTGTTTTGGAAGTGTAATAAAATGTCGTTATAACTTCCATTGTAGAGCTATCATACAATTTTTAAATTATTTTTTACATAATATTTAAATACTGAATACTATTTATAAAATGTAAAAATTTACCGAGTTCCATTGATATTTAGTTTCACATCGGGTTTTATGATTTCTACGCTTACTTCAGTGGAAAATTTTAAAACACCTCTATTATCCCTAAAATTATCTTAAAATATCGAAGAAAATATAAATGAATAAAAGCATATATGTTAAAATATATAAAAAATTATAAGCGGTTACCTCTAAATTTATCGATATCTAATAGAAATTTAATCACCAACTTTCCGACATCTTGTAATGTTTTCAACGTATTTAAACTGCATACAAAAGTTGTACAATTTATTTCAGGTGTTGTACAATTTATATAAGTAATATCATTCATCCAATTTTTATTCACTTTTTCTGAAGTTTGAATGTTCTTCACGTCATGCAAATATAAAGTCGAAGTTTCCACGTTTCTTTTGTCAAATGGAGCTAAAAATGGTTCTTCAACCATATCTAGTTGATTATCTAGTAAAATATTTTCTGAAGAACATTCAAAAAGTTCTCCTGATATATATAGCTGAAAACATATTTTATCTACAATTTATCTACAAAAGTAAGTCCACAGATTCTTACTTGAGGTTTGTATATGTATATCAAAGTTTTTAAATCTTCAATAGCTAATGGCACTTTAACAATGAGTTGCGCACTTTCTATAGGTGATGCTCCGTGTTTGTATACTTCATAAGTGTGTTGGAAAGTAACATTTGAAAAACTTTCGATTGAAGTAGTTAAATAGTAAGCTTCTTCGTTTGCTTTCCTAGAAAATAAAATTAGTAAAAATAAATGCACATTATCGTTTGATACAAGATCCAGATGTCTGGAGTCTAGATAATACGAACCCATACAGAAATAAAGAAACTTCGTTTACTAAATTAAGAATTTTGATTATGTTTGCTGTCCCATGATTTATACTACGAGTTTTTATCGTTGCATAAAAATGTAATTTATCATCGTAGGATCCATTAATTAATTTCATATCCAAGTCTAATTTAACACTTCTCTATTCGAACGAAATATAAATTTATATTAAATATTATATTATACAATATATATTAACTTTTAATATTATATTATCATAACGATACAACTTTTAAGAAATTTTACAGAATACCTCTTCTTCGTTCCAAATGGGATTTCCTGTATCGCAGATTACTATTAAATTTTCTTTGGAATTATCCTCATGACAAAAAGGTAAAATGCTACGTAATATTATTCCCTTTGGGAACGTGAATTCAAGCATGGCGAGATACGCGGGTTCTCCATAGTTCTTTAAACTAATTTCCAAACTTATGTCGCTCGAGCCAATAACCCATGTATCGTTGAATTGTACATTATGAAATTTTGCAGTGGCGGATATATTAGAATTACAAACTTTATCCTCTCCACAACCGATATTGAAAGGAAGTAAAGTTTGTGTAATTTGTAGTTTATTGTTTCTTTTCTCAATAGGACAGTATTTGCAAAAATCAGTCGCTACATTATCATATAAAAAATCATGTTTCGCAAAAATACTAATTGGCTCGATGAAATCTCGTATGCTTTTCTGTAAAATATTATATTAAATGAATCGTAAGCTGATGTAAAATTGGTAATGTTTTATATTACCGAAATATTAACTTGAGCAAATAGACAGATATTTGATATTAATTTAGATGATTTTAATTCCAAAGTTGTTTGTTTAGTTCGTTGGTAACGTTCATCTATAGTAACTGTGATCTTAAATTTTATAACTAGAAATAAATTAGAATTCATTGAAAAATATAAACAGATTTAATCGTATACAAAGATTTACATAAATAACTATACCTCCTTCATTGTGTAGTATATTATGTATAGTGTATGATGGACATATTTTAACTAAAAAATGCGTAGCATTTCTTTGTAAAGTATTAGGTACAGTTTCAATTAAAAGTTCTGTTTTTATTACTGGCTTACTACGTAATATCACAGCATTTCCTGATTTATATGCTCCAATTGCGATATCCAGATATCTACAAGTAGAGTATTAAAAGATGTCGCAAATATTTTACAATAAGTTATATACAATAAGTACTATTTAAGTTATTTACAATAAGTTATTTACAATAAGTACTAACCCATTGGCATCGATATCAACTGGTTTCGAAATTGAAAATCCAAATCTTTGTATTTTTTGTGAGGAATATCGAAAAAATTTTGCAGGTTCGATTCGCTCAGTCACTTGCAGATTTGATAAACCACCGTTGAATATATAAATTACACCATCATCTTCCCAAGGTGATCCCACAATGATATCTATTGCGATAAGAAAATAGAATTTATACCATTCAATATTGATACAATAGATTTGAATTACCATCATATCCATCGGCATCCAAATCACCGCTAGCTATGGCATATCCAAAATGAGCTCCTTGTACATGCCCGTCTAATATATGAGCCATTTCAAATCGTTCCTGCAAAAATATATGAAGTGTATATTCATCAAGAACTATATTATGCAGTACTACATAATAATATTTTCCGTGTAAAATATATCTTACCTCGGATGTACCAAAATATACGTAGACTCTGCCATTATCTTCTCTACAATAGGGTGCTCCAATTAGAAGATCATCTAAACCATCATTGTTTATATCCCCTACAGCTAAACTGGCTCCAAAAAATTCACCGATGTTAGTACCGTTCAGTTTCGTAAGAGATTTAGTTTTTGGGTTAATTACTACTACCTGAAAAAAGATTTGTATCAAAAACTTTATTTACGCATGTATATTTCAAAACATTGTTAATTACCATGCCAACATAGTTCCATCCAGGTGCTCCACTGACGAAAAGCAATTGATCTTTTTTGAAGAAATAGCCGGATTCAACACTGTATCCTGTAAATGTATTATTGCATATTAATTATAAGAATAAAATTGTCGTTAAAAAGAACGTACCAAACTGAGATACAGTGTAAAGTGACGTTAACTCTATAGACATTATTTCGTTTAAATACATTATATCCACGGTTCCGAAATCTTCGTGCTTTGGTTTTCCTACGATGTAATTTATCTTTCCCCTTTTTATGCCGTTACTCATTTGGTTTTGCTAGATTTTATTATAAATTATTTACCAGATAATAAAGGATATAGGATTTTAAAATATTATTTATATACCTTCGCTGAGGCATAATGAAAAGAAAAACCATATAACGGATTGTACCAGAATTTTGTTCCAAAATCTAGATAATCAAAATGATATAATTATTTATTATATCTTTTATAGTTTTAATCAAATGTAGCCTTAATGACGTACTATACGATTTCAGATTATTTTCGATGAACAGAGCGTTTGAAGAAATTTCTCCACTGTAACACATGCCTTGCATAGTTTCGAAATTAATATCTGTGAATGGTTTTGAAATCATTACAATCGTCCGTGGTGCACATACCTAAAATCAGAATGTCATTTAAAATTTTATTTAGCAAAACGAAATTGTTGCTGACATTTCGCTTACTGTCAGAATCCCATTTGGTTCATCTATAGAAATGGCACTTCCAAACCAACCGTATTGTTTTCGTATAATCGTCTTCATTTCATATCGCGTATCATATCCTTCCTCATTTTCAATTTTTTCTGGTCTGACTACTTGACACTCATCATTTTTAATCGCACACCGATACACGACACCAGGCTCAATTAAGTATGGAAATTTTTGTGTAAAATACCGAGAATAATTTTCTTTTGGTGCTCCAACTATCAACCTTTCGTGATTATTACAAGTAAAAGTAAAATATATTTTAAGAAAGTAGTCTTATTTGATGTATTACGTATAAAGAATACGTTACCAGGGTATATCAGTATCCATTTTGTAGTATAAATGTACAGTATAACCGAAATAATTAAACGTATTATTACTAGAATAAATGATAGGAAAGTCTATGTCTATATTATATCCGTAAACTGTTTCAACAAACAATAAGAATATTTCTATAACAAGTATCCTGCGAATCATTGTGACAAGTTTGAACTTCATGTGCTCCTCCGAGAAAAACTATAAAACTATCGTACATTTTTATTTAAACACAGGAAGAGAAATGATAAGACAATCGTTGAGAAATGTGTCATCATAATACAATTTAAGCGTGACTAATAAATCATTTATTTCATCAAACTCATCCTCATATTACAAGAATGTACAAACAGCTTCATTCGCATACCTAATTCGCATACCTTCAAAATCGCATACCTAAAATTCTTGTATCTTGTAGCATGTGTTTTTCAATATCCTTCAAGTAATATGGTAAACGATCTCGTGGGTCCTTTGCAGGTAATTCACGGCACTGTATATATATATATATAAAATTGTAAATGTATATATAATACATTTACAATTATATATAATATATAAATAATACATTTACAATTATATATAATACATTACAATTTATATTTTATTACTAATATAGTATATTATATTTTTAAATCAATACTTTACAATCAAAAATTGCAAGCATACCTTAGCTTGCTTTCTTAATTCCAAAATTGTAGGCATTAATTGAATGGTTCTTCTTTTTCTCTCTTCTAAAGTAGGATGATCCATAAATAATGGTATTTGAAATTTGTTTTGTCCTGAAAGCTCCTCAAATTTCATCATAATCTCCCAAAATATTAAAACTTCTCTAACATCAATGCAACTCTAAAAACATAAAAAAAACATTTTTAGGATTAAAATATAAAAATTCTAAAGATATATTAAATATTAAATAAAAATTGCACACTTTTGCAGCTAATTCAAGTCCGACATCATCAGCTTCAATTTCTTTCTGTCTTTTGTATGCAGAAAAAATAGCTGCGAATATTGTATACAATACTGAACAAAAAATGGCTGCTATTCTTCTTTCATAAAATACCCAAATTAAAAATGATGATACAATAGTTGCAATGGTATATATCGTTGCAAAAGTTGGTATTTCCGACTGAGAAGAGTTATATGAACTATTATTAATTATTATACATATTTTCTTCTTTTATGGAATATTAATTATGTTATTTACAACATAATTTTAACTCACTGTATGAAGAAGCATATAATGTGACATTTCATGGGCTAAAACAAATATTAATTGATCACTACTTTTAATAAAGTTGAAAATATCAACGAGAACAATAATATTCCTGTCCTAAAACATTTAAAACAATATGTTATTTTTAAATTTTATTTCATTTTTATATATAGATAGTAGTTTATAGATGAACACATACTGGTAAAATCATAACGTTAGGAAATGATGCTATATTAAACATACGATGAATTATAGTAATAGTCCAATCAGTGTTTTCAAATACATTTTTATTAGAGTATATCAACTTCTTTAATGCCCTAGCAATCATTTTGTACTTGGGATCTCTTAATGGTACAATATTCTTTTCATTCTGTACTATCATCTATACAAATTTATTATTATTATTTTAAGTTTACTTATTTAAATAAATTTATTATTTATTTAAATACATACTTTATAAAAGATTTTAGAATCTTCAACTTGTCGAGTTTGATCAAATAAAATCAGACGTGATTTTTTTTTTACTGGGTCTATTTCCAAATGTGTCAAACAATAAAAGACTAATACAAATGATAGAAATCCCAAAGAACCTAAAAATATATGTAATATTGTATCATCTTAGACGCTCATAAGTTATCAATAATATACCATAAAATATACGTTTCCTTTGCCTAAACCATTCTATATATTTTAATTGTTGCTCCAGAGTTTGTTTCAACCACCATTTTCTCACGCAATGACCACAATAGATTGAGCCAAAGCACAAAAGCAAAGATCCAGGATAATTTAGTTTTGGAGTTGTATGAAAATTTGATATTTGAAGTTTCAAACAGTGCCATCTTCTCTCAAGTTTTTTACATTGAAAAGGAAATGTACCAGAATTGGTACTATATGATAAACTTTTCTTTATACATGTTAGAGTTTTACCAGTTGTTAATCGAAAGTACATTATTTATATGGAATATTTATACAAATGAAGCCATTATAGCGTTATTACCTTTCAATAAGCTTTTACAAACAAAAATTATCTGAAAAATTTTAAGTTCGTATGGCTTAGTATAAGGTTAGGTTACATGTTATTGCCAAAGATTAGACGATAAAAAGAGAAATTTTGACATGAAAAAATAGAAAGAGCATATGCGTTGTAGTACATATCGCCTGCATTAAAGATGTGCGAAAATATACATGGTATTTTTGGAAAGAAAAACATAAAATGAAGATACGAATGTACGCTATATGCCTTTTATAATGGTTAAGTGTATCGATACATCAGCTGATATGTGTCAAAAAGGGAATTCCATTTTCTTTCGTAAAGCAATAAAATATTTAAATATATATTTTTTTTATGAATAATACATGTACATCTACGAATTATAACATTCCATTAAAAAAGAAAAAAAAAGGAAAAATGAAACTCTTCAATATCTAAGTTTCATTATATCTAAAAATATTTTAAAGTATGTGACATATTGGAAATGGAATATCATAAGATTATAATCGATGATTATATATCAAATCTATTGAAATACAAATCTTATTTTCAAATTAACCATAAAACGTGAACGGTTAATACATTCTAGTTTAAACGATTCACAGTATATTTGCAAATACAAAAGATTTTAAACTCTCTCTTGACATATATTTAAATTTCGAAAAATATAATTATAAAAGTATTCTGTCCACGTTTTTCAATTTTAAACGTTCTTTTAAGAACAATTAAGCAATTAATCATCGATCTTTTCCTCCATTAATTTTAAAGGAATAAAGAAGAAAGAAGTCAATTCGAGTTTAATAGAAAAATTTAAGATTCAACTTGAGAGAAGATTAATGTGAAAAGAAATTTACATTGAAATGAGATTTAAGCGTATATATATCCTTGAGAATATAATCGGATAAGAATAAATTCATGGGGATACAAATTAGGAAGAAATCTGATTGAATACATTGAATATAAAAATGGTAAGATTTCTGAGAACAATGTACCGGTGGAACAAACTTGTACGTCCGCTATAGAGGGAGTTCGGGTGTTGATTCTCTGTTAGCAGTTAGCGGCCAAGGATGCGTACATTTGTGCGCGTTTTCATGCGCCGGTGTTCGCGCGTGCGTTCATGTGTACATGCAGATGCACGCGCGCATCTGTGTATTTATGTGCGCGCGCCTTGTACGTGAGACCGTGCGCGCGTGTACGTCCATCATGAGTCAGAACCCATGGTTGGTGCGTGTTTCGTAATTAATTTCCACGGCGAGGAGAAAAATGCGAGTCTAAACCCGGGACTACGACACCTGCTCACTCCCGGGCCACTTGTCCTCGGAGGACATGCCCGTTGTGCCCGGTAAACCGCGCACCGTTTTATCTTCTTCCTACCCTCTTTGTATCCATTATGTGCGCCTAGTGTTGTGTATTTTCTTCTCTTATTTCTCTCGTCGCAACTTCTGTATACTTGGTTCTGTTCTTCCGTTGGGTTTTTCTCTCCTTACGTCTACAGGTACTACTACATTTTATTTAACAGTGGTCCCTCCCGGTTCGATTCAAACCGCCTACGGTCTCCATTTCAATCGACAGAAGCACAATTTATTTCCTGTCTTTTATATGTTATAAATTTTCATGTAACAGCACCAACAGAGGAAAGGATTTTTGCCTTAAACGGTGTTTCCAGCCGTCAATAGTTCGGGCACGCAAATGTTTCTACGATTGGTGAACTCGACCGATTTTAAACTGTCACTCTCGACGTCGATCGAACTTTCACGAGAAAGAATGGATTGTGAATTTTTCGATAGTTTCGCTTATAGGACTTATCCTTTGTTTTCCTTCCTGTGAATAAACCGATTGAGTCAGGTATACACACACACACACACGCACATATATATTTTTATTATTTATAATTTGAACAATAATATTGTTAATATTTTTCTTTAATTTTTCAATAATATTGTCAATGTTTCTTCCAAGGCAATAAAGAAGTTAAGAATGTTGTTAAATGATTAATTTGATTTTAGGTAACATAAATAATTGAAAGTGAAGAAAATAAGAGAAACATGGATCAAAACAGGAATAGACCAAGCAGACCTCGTCTTCGTTCTCATGGTAATTCTGCCAGAGTACTCGTTTTTGATCAAGCTGAAAGCGAAGAATCTGCTTGCAGTACTGAAGCAGAAATGCAAAAAAGGCCAATTGCGCCTAAAGTGGAAAGTAAAGAGGCTCCAGTTCGACCTGGTTAATAAAGATTTACATTATTTCATTTATCCATTTACTTATAATATACCTTTTTATAATTTCTAGCATCTAATTTAATATTTCTGATTACTAGTTAGTGGAGAACTATCAAATCTGGTTCGGATGAGGAATTCTGCAATCGGGAAATCTGCACCTTCTTTATCTGTTCATGTGGTTGGTGATATTTATTATTGAATGTTAAATATAAATACACTAATTAATAATGATCATTGTATAAGCCATGTGCTATGTGCTTCTATGCAATCCATGCAAATTACTTGTTTTAGCGTGATCTTAACATTCCACGGCGTGCTGCTAAAGCAGCTCATCGTAAATCTTTTATTGCAACAACATCTCCAACTTTACCACGTTGTCATTCACCATTGTCAGGTAAAATTTTAAGTGTAAATTTTAATTTTTTATTATTTATACCTCCTTAGTTTGTTCCTTCAATTGATTGTAATGATCTTTCAATGAAATTTCATATCATATACAGACTATTTTATGAGAATATATAAATATTCTGGCATGTCTTTACTCAAGATTTTTAAATGTATCTATTAAGTGTATTACATATAAATGTATATTATAAATACATATATTCTTGTTTAAAAAATAGTAATGCAACCAACTATCAAAATTTGAATTCATGCAGTTAGATCTAGAAACTTTCAACTTTTATGTTTAAAAATTTTTCAATTATTTAGAAGCGTGTATTTTATATTATTTATACAACTCAATTATTATAGAAAACTAATTTCTTTTACTGCTTATTTCCTTATATAGCGTTTGTCCCGATTGTAGGCAGCCCCCTAGAGAGTCCTAGGATGTCATCCAGTCCACATTTTGCTTTTGCTCCAATTAAGAGGTATCTATTTCATACCTACTTTTAGTCTGTTTAAATCTGATCTCTTTGTCTATATAAGTAGGTGTCGCCATTGTCAGCATATATTTTTAATACATTATTAATAGTAAAGAAAACAAATGCTGATGCACAAATTAGGCTGTAAAATTTTTCATAAAAAACGAACATGGCTGTAAGATTTCTTGTTGCTAAGTGATTGTTTTTCTTATATATATTACTACTACTAATAGTGTATGTTACTTATTGTAAAACTAATTTTTTATATTCAAATGCTCATAATATTTAAGGATTGGTGGAGGTACTACAGGAACTGGAGATGGCAGAAGATGGTCAGTTGCTAGCTTGCCATCTAGCGGTTATGGAACAACACCAGGTTCCAGTAATGTTTCGGTTAGTTATTTTAACAATTATATTTAACAAATATATTTAAAAAATATAAGACTACAATGATTAAAGAAATCTATTAACAAATACATTCAATTAGTCGCAGTATTCGAGCCAAGAACGCTTACATCAGCTTCCAAATGTTCCCACTAAGGACGAATTACGTATGCTTTCTTGCCATTTCTCTAAACCTGGTACACCATGTTCTTCGCACCCAGGCTTCCCAGGTTCTATTTCTAGTATTCCAGGCAGTGTATCTCTTAGTCTCGATGAAGAAGGTCGTAGATCGCCATTACACAGACCACGTTCACGAAGTTTAAGGTAAATACTTTCTATTCCTTGCAAGATATTCAATAATATAACATTTATTCAATAATGTATATTTATTTCAATTGTAGCAGTCCAAGTCGGTCTCCGGTATTGGACAGTGAAATTGTTATGATGAATACTCTTTATAAAGAAAGATTTCCAAAGGTATATTTTAGCTAAGGAAGTTTATATATTGCAGTGATATAACAACACATTTACCATTTTGTTTAACAATTTTATTCAATTAGGCAACACAACAGATGGAGGAACGTTTAACTAATTTTATTAATGAAAATAAAGAATTGGATGAATATGAAGTAATGGCAAATATGACTTCTGATTCTTTACCAATTTTACGTTTCGTACATCATCAAGTAATCGAAATGGCGAGGGACTGTTTGCAAAAATCTCAGGAAAAGTTAATTACAACTAGATATTTTTACGAAATGAGTGAAAATTTGGAACATTTGTTGATGGAGGTTATTATATACAAATTATATAAAAATTGCACGATAAAATGAATAAATAATAAATAAACACTCTTTATTTTCAGACAAAGGATAAATCACTTGATGCAGCAACGAGATTAACGGGACTTATTAAAAAATTATTGTTAGTAATATCGCGTCCAGCTCGTCTATTAGAGTGTTTAGAATTCGATCCAGAAGAGTTTTATCATTTACTTGAACAAGCCGAAGGTCAAGCAAAAATTAATGCGGGAATAAAAACAGATATACCTCAGTATATTATTAATAAGCTTTCTCTTAATAGAGATCCAATATCAGGTAAAATTTGTTTGTGTACTTTTTCTTTTTATCTGTTTAAATTCTATGCAAGAATAATTTCAATGTGTTATTTTATATTTTAGAACTCCAAGAAGATTTAAATAAATTAGAAGATTCGGCAAGTTCGAGCGATAGTAATTTACAAATTGCTTCTAGTCCAAATAAGGACGATGAAAAATCTCAGCGTGTTCCTTGTGAAAGCGATTACGAAGTATTGAAACTCATTAGTAATGGTGCATATGGCGCAGTGTATTTAGTTAAAGAAAAAACTACACGACAAAGATTCGCTATGAAGAAAATAAATAAGAACAATTTGATGCTAAGAAATCAAGTAGAACAAGTCTTCGCTGAGAGAGATATAATGAGCTTTACAGACAATCCATTCGTAGTTTCTATGTATTGTAGCTTCGAAACAAAAGTATGTATACATTATTTTCGAAGATCTAACAAAATTTAAAACAACCTCTGTTAACGATCATTTAATTACAGAAACACTTGTGCTTAGTAATGGAATATGTCGAGGGTGGAGATTGTGCGAATCTTTTAAAAAATATCGGCCCATTGCCACCAGATATGGCAAGATTTTATTTCGCAGAGACCGTTCTGGCTGTTGAATATTTACACAGCTATGGTATTGTTCATCGAGATTTGAAACCTGACAAGTACGTAAAGAAAAGCATGTTGTTAATTCGTTCACTATTTTATATATCGTTTCTGTTTTAGTTTACTTATTACTGCTCTTGGTCACATTAAACTCACTGATTTTGGTCTCAGTAAAATGGGTCTTATGTCCTGTAAGTAACATAAAAATTCTATGTTCTTGAAATATATCTTAATGATTATTGAACTTAATAGCTTCTTTTTTTTTTTTTTTTTTTAGTGGCGACAAATCTCTACGAAGGCTATATAGACAGAGATACGAGACAATTTTCTGATAAACAAGTATTTGGCACGCCTGAGTATATCGCTCCTGAAGTTATATTACGTCAGGGATACGGCAAACCTGTTGATTGGTGGTCTATGGGCATTATACTATATGAATTTCTGATTGGCTGTGTACCATTTTTCGGTGATACTCCAGAGGAATTGTTTGCTCATACAGTTAATGGTAAATAAATCGATATAAAGTATTTAAAAAATGAAAAATATTTAAAAATAAACGAATTATGTACAGATGATATCGAGTGGCCGGATGAGGATGATTGGCCTGTTCAGCCAGAAGCTAAAGATATTATAACAGCATTGCTGCAACAAAGTCCTAGAGATCGTTTAGGTACTGGTGGATCTCACGAAGTAAAAGAGCATCCATATTTTTATGGAGTGAATTGGAATAGTTTACTCAGACAGAAGGCTGAATTTGTACCGCAGTTAGTCAATGACGAGGATACAAGTTATTTTGACAGTACGTATAACGCGATATCCTTGTGTTAACGTTGAAACTTAACAAAGCAATATTATTTCAGCTCGTATGGACAGATATAATCATGATATTGGTGATGACACCGATGACACCGATGATTCTCCTTTGTTCGGATCGTTCTCGTCGTATTCTCCGCAATCACGGAAAATATCTCAGACCCGTCCACCGCAGTTAAATCCCGAACAAACAGAGTTGGATGTCTCAAAGAAACAATTATTCCGTACTGAGCTTGAACGCACAGTTGCGCAATTATCATTTGGATCTAATAGCTCAATTACTCCTCCATCCAAATTAGCGGAATCGACTCCATCAGAAAAAAGTCGAACTTCTTCGTCCATTAAAAATTCCACGTACATCGAAACACCTCCAAAGGCGGACAAGTTGAACTCGTTTACGAGTCCTGCCACAGTGACCGGTGAATCTCAATTAACAGTTATTAAGAACAGTCAAGTAGAAGGGACGTCCATTAGCTTGAGCACACCCGATTCCTCGCAAACCGAGTCTGAAGATATCAGTCCTCAGATCCAGAGAAAGCGGCACGTGCATTCTCGTGATAAGCTGCCCAGGTTCAGTATATGCATTGATGATGAACACATGTGAGTCGTTCAAATATACATCTTCCGAAACATTATAATTGTTATCACAAAATTAGCTCCGCTCTCATGGAATTCAATACGTTAATACGCATATAAGCCATTCATTTCTATTAGAAAATAGATAAAATATTACGTACGCGTGTGTATAACGAATATATTTTATTTCAGGTTGGATTTGATTGCAGCAAACAGAGATGCAACTGAGGAAAGCAAGCATAATTCTAGTACTGATTCTTTCGAATCATTCAGCGCCATACCAATTATCCCATCCGCGAAACAGAAGTCGCGGTCTGTAATTAAGTCCGCATCCACTAGTGGGTTGTCATTAGTTATACCAACCAGTGATTTCTCTTGTACATGTTATTATGAATTGAATAATTTTGTGTTGTGTTGTAATATTCAACTTAGTTAACTAACTCGCACTTTTTAGATGATGCGTCGTTAAATACTCAACCTATCGAATCTCCCGGTGGATCATCCACTGCTTCTTCAAGAGATACGTCCCCTTGTCGCGAACTGAGCCCGCTTGTAACTAGTTTAAAACCACCTATTATCATTCGAAGAGGACCTTGTGGATTTGGCTTCACCGTACACACTATTAGAGTTTATTACGGTGATAGTGATTTTTACACTATGCATCACTTAGTTATGGTATGTTGAAATGATTGAATTAAAGTTCGGTATATCTCTCTATACGTTGTTTGAATTTATTTTGTACTTTGCAGGCTGTAGATCAATCCAGCCCAGCCTTTGAAGCTGGTTTAAGGCCAGGAGATCTCATAACGCATATAAATGGCGAGCCAGTACAGGGTTTATATCATATACAAGTACTTCAGCTGATGTTGAGTGGCGGCGATCATGTAACATTACGTAGCACGCCGTTAGAAAATACTAGTATTAAAACAGGAGGAAGAAAGAGAGATCTGACTCAAAGCAAAATGGCGCGCAGAACGTTACACAAACAGCGCAAACTGAAACGTGATCATTCCGATAAGAAACGAAAAACGTCCCTTTTTAAACGAATTAGTTCGAAACGGGCTAGCGTAGAGATGCAACAGGTACAGAAGAAGTACTTATTTCTTTGTACTTTGTAATTTCCTTGAGTCTAAACGAGTTAATGTGAAGATACATGTCCGTGGCCTTTGGCAGATCACATATGAACATTTCAAAGAATGCCTTGAATTGTGAATGTATATTCGTACAAACTTTCTTTTTCATTTTAACACAAAACTACTACCGCTACTACTATACTACGGAAAATACTAAAGCACCGGCAATTTCTACGCAACACACTTTATTATGTTAAGTGTTACTTTTTTTTATTGCAGCCATTAACTATCAGTTGTCCATTGTCAGCACCCATTCTATCCAGCGACAGCAAACCTCCACTTATGGTATGATTTTTCGTAACGTTCCGTGAACTTTTTGCTAACTTCACTTTTAGTTGCTGTTTTCTTAAGTCTCGATACTTATTTATGCGATACAATCCCGTGGCAGCTTTTACATATCTGTTTTTTTCTTTTTTTAAATTGACCGTGACAATGTTAAAGTTTTACACTATACACTAATCACAAAAGATATTTGAGCATTCGAAAGAGAAGAGTTTGATGCTACATCTTTTGGATAGTATCCAAAGCATGTCTGTCGGATAGAAACGTTACGCAACTTTTTTTCCAGATGGCTGCGGGAATTTGTTCACCATCAATGGTGACACCTAGTCGATCGTTCCAGTCGTTCACACGTTCTCAAGAAACGTCACCATACTTTGCAGCATGCACAAAGTCCGTCTGTAGCCCGTCACCGCCAACAAATCGCGTCAGCTCAGATTCTTATCACTCCACGGGGAATTCAAGTCCCTGTTCCAGTCCAAATTCTTCCTCCCCGGGCTCTACTGCGTCGGCTGCGAATCTACCAACTATCGCCAATCAGTCCCACTATCAGAGGCCGAGCACACTTCACGGTTTGAAGCACAAGTTGCACACGGCTGCAAAAAATATCCATTCGCCGAATCGTAGAAAATCAGTGGGACATATACCACTGTCGCCATTAGCTAGAACTCCAAGTCCATCGCCTCTTCCAGCTAGTCCTACCAGGAGTCCTAGTCCACTAGCGTTCCCCACGGGACATCAACCTGGTAGTTCGAATACCACGCAATCTTATAGTCCAGGTACTTATAAATTGGTACATATATAATTAGTAAATGACCGTAAGATGATATAAAAAAAGTTTTGATGTAAGTTGGTGTAAAATCAAATTAAATTGTCGCCTTTACAAATAAATGGACATATAAGACATTAATACAGATTTATTTTAAATACTTAGGTGTTTGTTTGTCAACGCCAAACAATCAGAAAAAAGGTTACGGACGGCCGAAGTCAGCAGAGCCCGGTTCTCCGTTGTTAAGAAGGGCGCTCAGTCCAGACAGGCTTCATCCCCGATCCGCGGAGAACAAGACATCTATCTCACCGTTGGCGAACACAGTGGTGAAAGTAACTCCACGTACAACTATAGCGCAATCTTATTCAGAAACATCCGACGAGTGTAATGATAGTTTTAAGGAGCCAAACGACTCGAAAGTGGAGAAGAAAGTGCCAACGGAATCGAAAGCGGATTATTCGAAGATATCTCATGGAATATCGATCAACTTGGGAAACGTGGGTATATCTAATTCTTGCGGTAGTACACAGCTGCCTAGAATAGCAGAAGAAAAGGATTCACCGACCGGTACAAAAGCCGATGATTACTCGAAGGAAGCTTCAGATAAGATCGATAAAAACAATACATCTACAAATAAATTAACAGACTCGGAGAATATCAGTGAGCGAGTTGAATCGAAGATGGAGAAGCAGAATTCGTGTATAAAGAATTTAGGAGCATTATCTACTAATAAAAATGAAGAAGGTGCTCAATTGGATAATTCTTCTAATGTACAAGCGCGTAGTTTGCAAAATACGTCTCACAAGCAATTTCAAAATATCGAAAAATGTTCGCAAGTTTTGCCTCAAAAAGCATCGTTACAGAGCGGTGAGAAAAGCTCACAATCTTCATGTCAAAAGCCATCATTGCAAACCAATGAAAAAAGTTCGCAATCTTCCGCTCAGAAAGTATTATCGCAAGCCAACGAAAAAGGCTTCCTGCAAGGTGTATTGCAGAAGTCGTCTCAAAGCAACGAGAAAGCGCCACAGACTGCGGTACAGAAACTACATCAAAACAATGAAAAAGCAGCTGTGCCTCACAAAGTAGCCGAACAAAAAGCAGCTGGTAAAAGTTCAGAGGCTAATCCGGAAGGAAGAAAAGTATTGAAGAAGTACAAAGTTGAAAGCTCTGACGGCTCAAGTAACACTTCCTCTTTGCAACATATGAGCGCAACATTTGAGGCTATAGGAGCTGGAAAAGACAAGAAAAACAATTAAATAATTATCGTTCGATTGATCGTTCAGATTTGAGAGTATAACAAAACAAAATATCTGTGTGTAACGATCAGATTTTTTTCTGCCAATGAAAACGAATCATCTGTTCTTTTTTAAAACTCGTCTCTCTGCAATCAAATTTTACAAAAAAAAGAAAGTCTAACGTCTGATAGATGCACGAACATGCACATTGTAAAATCGAGTAAAATCAGAAAAGTGG